GCACTTTGTTTCAAATCACTAAGTTTGGCTTTTCATAACCTTTAATGGGATGTGGGATCATCAAGGGGGACTGAGGTAGCTCCCTCCTTGATTGCATTGACCAGATAGGGCTTTAGCATTTGCCCATTCACAACAAAAGCATTTCCAACTTTTTCCTCTAGAACAACAGTCCCATAACTTCTCACCTCGAAGATCTTGAAAGGGCCAGACCACCTTGACTTTAACTTGCCAGGAAAAAGCTTGAGCCTTGAGTTAAACAGCAACACAAGGTCCCCTTGAAACCCCTCTTCAAAATCTTTCGATCATGCAAAGTCTTGGTCCTCTCCTTGTAGATCCTTGAGCTTTCATATGCATCAAGCTGTATCTCCTCAAGCTCATGGAGTTGAAAGAGCCTTTTCTCTTGGGAAGTCTTAATGTCAAAGATCAAAAGCCTTATAGCCCATAATGCCTTGTATTCAAGTTCCACAGGCAAATGGCAGCTCTTCCCATAAAGGAGATTGAAAGTAGAAGTGCCAATAGGAGTTTTGAAAGCTGTCCTGTAAGCCCACAAAGCATCATCAGATTTCTTGGACCAGTCCTTCCTTGAAGAGCTCACTGTCCTCTCTAGAACGGCTTTGATCTGTCTGTTTGAAACCTCTACCTGACCACTTGTCTGAGGGTGATAAAGGCTGGCTATTTATGCTTGACTCCGTACTTCTTAAGAAGTTCCTCCAAGGTCTTGTTCACAAAGTAACTCCACAATCACTGATAACAACTCTAGGCACTTCAAACCTTGGAAAATGATGGTCTTGAACAGCTTAACCACCACCTTGGAGTTATTTGTTGGACTTGCTATAGCTTCCACCCATTTGGAGACATAGTCTACTGAAACTATTATGTATTGATTACCATGAGAAGAAACGAAGGGTCCCATGAAATCAATTCCCCAACAGTCAAAGACTTCCACCACTAGGAACGGATTTTGTGACATTTCATGTCCTTTTGAGATGTTTCCTGCCCTTTGACAGACATCACACCTCACAACAACAGCTTGAGCATCTTTGAACATGGTTGGCCACCAGAAACCTGACTGTAGTACCTTAGCCATGGTTTTAAAAGCTGCATGATGACCTCCATATGCAGATCCATGGCACTCCAACAATATCCATGGAATCTCTTCCTCAGCTACACACCTTCTATACAGATGATCCTTGTTAAGCACATACAAGTATGGCTCATCCCAAAAGAACCTCTTGATGTCCTTGAAAAACTTCTTTCTCTGATAGTTACTCATTTCTGGGGGCTCCACTCCATAAGAGAGATAGTTCATAATGTCAGCAACCATGGCAAACCCCTTTCTTTGATGAACTTGATTTCTTCCAACTCATTCAAAGCCTTCACCACCATGAGCTGCTCTTCAGGGAGAGAATCATTAAGAGGAACATCAGCTTCCACTCTTAGTCTAAACAAGTGATCAGCTACTCCATTTTCAATACCTTTCTTGTCTTTGATTTCCATATCAAATTTCTGGAGAAGCAATACCCATCTCAAAAGCCTAGGCTTCGTATCCTTCTTTGTCATCAGATATCTCAAAACTGCATGGTCTGTGTAGACCACCACGTTAGACCCCACCAAATAGGACCTAAACTTGTCAAAAGCATAGACAACAGCCAACATTTCCTTCTCAGTTGTGGCATATTTCTCCTGAGCTGTGTCCAAGGTCCTACTTGCATAGTAGATGACATGAAACTTCTTTTCCTTTTTTTGTCCTAGCACAGCACCAACTGCAAAATCTGATGCATCAGTCATGATTTGAAAGGGCAAGCTCCAATCTGGTGCTTGAACAATGGGAGCACTTATCAGAGCTTGCTTGATCTTCTCAACAGCTTCATGACACTCTTGATCAAATAGGAATTCCACATCTTTGCACAGAAGCCTTGTCTCAAAAAGCTTCTGACTCCTTTCACTGAATTTGGAGCCCCCAATTAACCATGACATCTACCTTGGCCTTATCAACCTCTATCCCAAGTTCTGAAATTTGTGCCCCAATACAATGCCTTCTTGCACCATGAAATTGCACTTCTCCCAGTTTAGCACCAAGTTTGTCTCCTCACATCTCCTTGGTACCTGAGACAAAGTAGACAAACAAGAAGAGAAAGAGGGTCCATAGATTCTAAAGTCGTCCATAAACACCTCTACTTTCTCCTCTATCAGGTCAGAGAAAATTGACATCATACACCTTTGAAAGGTGGCTGGTGCATTACATAAACCAAAAGGCATTCTCCTGTAAGCATAGGTGCCATAAGGAAAGGTGAATATTGTTTTCTCTTGGTCTTTATGGTCTATTGGAATTTGGAAAAATCCTGAGTATCCATCTCGAAAACAGTAGTAAGGGTGATCGGTAAGCTTCTCAAGCATTTTATCAATGAAAGGAAGTGAAAAATACTCTTTTCTTGATGCAGCATTCAACTTCCTATAATCAATGCACATTCTATGCCCTGTCGCAGTCCTAGTGGGTATAAGCTCATCTTTATCATTCTTTACCACTGTCATACCACCTTTCTTAGGCACCACATGGACAGGGGAAACCCACCTTGAGTCAGAGATAGGATATATTATCCCTGCGTCAAGTAGTTTCAGAATTTCTTTCTTGACCACCTCCTTAAGGTTTGGGTTTAACCTTCTTTGGTGTTCAATGGAGGGCATAGACTCTTCTTCAAGATGGATTCTGTGGGTACACAAGCTAGGAGAGATCCCTCTAATGTCATCTAGGGAATACCCTATGACTTTTTTATACTTCCTAAGCTCATGCAACAGGGCTTTCTGTTCATGCTCTAACAACATATCCTTGATGATGACAGGATATGATGCATTGAGTCCAAAAAAAGCATACTTAAGCCCTTTTGGGAGTGGCTTAAGCTCAACAGATCGAGCTTTGTGTTCATCCCAGTCTCTCATGAAGCCCTCTTGTTCAGCTTGAGCTTCATTTCTGTTGGTATCCTCAGCCAGTTTAGCCTCTTCCTCAGCTTTCAAACCCACAACCATGAACTATTGAACCGGTCCCTGACTTGTACTTAACCCACTGATACTCTGAACCACTTGGCCACTTGTGTCGAGCTCCAAAAGCTGAGTTTGTGATCCTGCTGGCTTCTGAGAATCAAGAAGCTTCATAAACCCAAGGGTTCCATCCTCCAAGTACCCATGCTCACCATGCTCTTTAGTTAAGGCAATTTGAAGACGATCTTCAGTGTTCAACTCTTCAAGAAGCTCATCAGCAAGCTCTTCCATGGCTTCTATATAGATACCTGACTTTCAATAGTAGATTTCTTCATGACTTCATTTATTATCAAACTTGAGGACCTCTGATCTTAGATGGAGATCTATCTTTTCTCCTCTTACATTGATAATGGCTCCTGTTGTAGCAAGGAATGGTCTCACCAAAATGAGAGGATCTGTAGGCTCTTCATCCATCTACAAGACAATAAAATCAGTTGGGACTTCAAATTCTCCTATCTTAACAGGTAGATCTTCAAGGAATCCAATAGGGAATTTAACTGATCTATCAGCAAGTTCCAAAGATATCCTTGCAGGCTTGTAGACTGTGAACCCCAACTTCTTTGCAATTTAGAAGGGCATTAAGTTCACTAATGATCCAATATCACATAGGCAGCTGGCAAACTTAAGAGGACCAATAGTACAGGGCAATGTAAAACTTCAGATAAATTCCTAGGGATTGTCCTTCTTTGAATAATTTCACTACACTCATGGCTTACGACCACCATTCCTTGTAGTTCTCTTGACTTGTTCAAAAGAGCATCTTTTAAGAACTTTCCAAGTTGAGGAACCATAAGAAATGCTTCTATAATGGGCATGGTGAACTGAGTCTTCTCCAACTGCTTTTCAAAACAGCTCTAGCCTTATCTAGGAGTTGTTTCTTGAACCTTCCTGGAAATGGAAGTTTGGGCTGATAAGGTGGTGGTGGCACATATGGTTTCTCAGGCACCATATCCTTTGCCACACCTTTGCCCTTGTCATTCTTTACAGCTTCATCATCTAGTACACTCTCTTGAGGCACCTCCCCACCAAGTTGCTCATTGTCCTCAATGATCACAGGTCTTTGTTCTCTCTCTGGTAGCTCCTTGCCAGTCCTGAGTGAAATGGCATTGGGATACTCCTTGGGGTTTGGCTCAGGCTTCCCATGAAGTGTTCCTTGTTGTCTAGATGAAGAAAATGCTTGATTCTTCTGAAGATCTTTCAGTTTATGTTGCATAGCTTCATACTTTGAACTCAGATCAGTGAAACTGTTCTCAACCTTTTGCTGATCCTGAAGTATCTGCTGAAGAGCCCGACCTAAGTCTTAACCCATCTGCTGACCCTGCTGCTGTTGTCCAAAACCAGGTGGAAACTTGTTCATAGGCGGATGACTAGTGAAGTTACCTCCTTGATTCTGCTGAGGTTGCTGAACATACTGCTGAGGCTGATGAACATATTGTTGCTTGCTCTGAAAGTTCCCTTGAAACTGATTCTTGGGAACATAGCTTTTTTGAGCTTGTTGAGAGGGAGAGACCTGATCTCCTGGATTAGCTACATTTGGATTTAATGATCACAAGTTCTGATTGTTGAAGTTGTTATACCTCTGGAACTTGTTTTGATTTCCAATGTAATGCAGCTCCTCTTGTGTTAATCTCTCCTCATTCACATTCTCAAAGCAAGTAGTTTGTTCATCAAACTCTCCAACAAAATGCATTGGCTTCTGAGTAGCCACCAGTACCTAATCCAACTTGCTTTGCAGCTCTTTTATGTCCTTTCTCATCGTTTGTTCCTCACTAAAGCCATTTCCTCTGTTGGCTATATCATAGTCTTCACCATATGTGTCATTACTCATAGCCAAGTTCTCCACCAACTCCATTGCTGCATTGATTTCTTTGGCAAGGAAGTTGTCATTGGATCGAGTATCTAATTGATTACTGAACTTGGGCAGAGCACCTCTGTATAGAGTGCTAAGTAGAGAAGCTTCAGAGAACCCATGGTGAGGGCACTGGTGGGTATAGCTTCTAAATATCTCTCAGGCTTCACCAAATGTCTCATTGTTGTGTTGTGTGAAGGAAGATATCAAATTTCTGAGCTTGGTTGTTCTTGAAGTTGAAAAGAACTCCCCTAGGCATGTTTTTCTCACATTGGCGAGCTTTGTCTCCTAAGCTGAATGGAAAGAGTCTCAGCTTAAAACCATCTTCAGACACACCATTGATCTTTGTAAGGTTGTAGACCCTGTCACAGTTATCAAGGTTGCCTAGAGGGTCTTCTATAGGTAAGCCATGGAACTTGGAGTTCTGCACCATGTTGAGGAGTGAGGCCTTGACTTCAAAATTATTGTTTTCAACAGGTAGAGCCTGGATGCCTTGCCTGTTCTGGTGAGCATTTGCTCTGTCATTAGCACCCTCAAAGATTGGATTCTGCACTTGAGGCTGGTTATGCCTTTGCTGGTGCTGGTTCTCTGGGTTGACATGAGCCGGATGTTCATTTCTAGCCGTCTGGTTCTGTTCACCTGAGCATGGTGCTTATTTCTGACCGCCATGTTTTGGTTCAAAAAGGCATGTGCCTCATTTTTGGCCGCCTCATTCTGGTTAACTTGAGCCAGGTGATCTGCTTGATGCCCTAGTTGATCCATACCCAGCTGCTAAAGATGTTCTGCTCTCTCTCTTGCTCTTCTACCTCTTCTATCAAGCAAATGGATATTGTCAATGAAGGTGATATGATCGTGACCAGCTCAGAGGAGGAGGAACCAGAGGTAGCTGGCAGGATCACTCGTTCCAGAGCTAGAGAGATGGCTAAGGAGGCTCACGCACTCATTGCCACAGAGGACAGCGATCACCAGGAGGCTGGAGCTCACATCTTCAACATCTCTATCTTGAAGAATGAAGAACCGAGTAACAATGACTAGGTAACTTAGGTGATGATTCTGTACTCTTTTCCTTGGTGAAGATTTTGGAAGGCAAGGAGGTTCTTCTCCAAGGTTTTTAACGAGGCAGAAATCATTGCTACGTCGAGTTACTTAGAAGTTGTTACTAATGGGTAATAATGTGCAAAGTCACAATGACTTGTGCACTTAGTATTTTGACGCACCACTTAGGAATTTAGGGACGCCTCGCTGTTTTATTGTTAAATTAAACTTCTTGTTGTTTTATTTCAAACTCCATGTAGTTTTGTTATTAGGGCTGCGATTTTCTCTCTTAGTCTATAAAAAAGAGAAAATCGCCTAAGTGTTATTCAGTGAAGAATTTTGATCAAACTTTTAACGTGTTCTTCTCTCTTTGATTTCTGAGAACTAAAAACTCTGAAATTCGAATCTCTTAAAACTAATCTGTTTACAAGAGATTCTTCTATCCCTCCATTCCATCGAATTCATTCATCATACTTCCATCATCATCCATTTGATTATCTCACTACAACCACCACCCCATCGAACCGATCTCTCCATCATCACCATCATCGATTCCTTCGCGACGAGCCACACGCACCACCATATCGAGTCTCCAACTCGATCCGCCAGCCACCATCGTCTCTCATCGTTTCGACCATCATCATCGAGTCACCACCACCATCATATCGCTGCATCTAATCCTCTTTGCTTCAGAGTTGATCACCTAGGATCGTATCACGTGGTATCAGAGCCAACTCTGAACCAAAGGCTGAGCGAAACTCTAACCCTAATCTTTGTACTTTGAATTTTCGTTTCTGTGTTATTAGGGTTAGCGAATTCTATAGTTTGTGTGCATCGCTGTATCATTCGTTTTTGTTTTTTGTTATTTGTTAGATCGTGTTCGTTTTAGTTTGTTTCGCTGCATCACTTCTATATCGTCGTTAGGTTGCATCGATCTGGTCTTTGCTGCTTATTCATTGTGTCGTGTGGTGTCCGAAATTTTGTTAGTTTTAGTTTCATTGCTTCGTATCGTGTCTAGGGTTTTGATAGTCTTCGTGTTTCGCATTCGTTAGGAGTCTTCGAGTTGTCGTTTGCGTTTAGGCCTTTAAGAATCTTGTATTTTCGTTCGTTAGGTTAAAAAAAAAAAAAAAAGTACACCAAAAAAAAAAAAATTTTCGTTAAATTTCATTAGTGTCGTTAAGTTTGTTTTTAGATTTCGTGGGGATCGTATAATTTTTTTTTTATGATGAGTTTAGTTTGGCTGTTTTTGTGATTCCTTCTAGAACAAGTTACTGCGAGTTTCTTTAAAAATTTTTTTCAGGTACCATGGAGCTTTCGGCTGAGGCGATGGAAGCCCTGAACCGAGCAATGTCTCAACAAATTAAAGAAGCGAATCAAGCCATAGCAACTCAGCTCACCCAACAAATCGAACAACTCAATGACAAGTTCGAGACGAAGATGACTGATCTTCTCAAAGATCTCAGTGCAAGTGGAGAAGAGTCGTCTCAAACTCCCACTCCGTCGGAAGCAATGCGCTTAGCTAAGGGTAAAGGGCACATAGGATCTTCCCGGAAACTCCCACGCCACCCAACACCTTCTGAAGGCAGGACTAAAGCTAAGTCCAGCCGAAGCCAAATTGGGGGCAGAGAAACTACGTTTAATCCGAGGAGGAACCCTACTGGTGCAGATCGAGATGGCCCACGAGTAGATCGTCAGCACCGCAGAGAGGAATATATTGCTGGGCATCGAGTTACCCTGGAATCAGACCCAGAATACTATGAGGAGGACGAAGCTTCTGATCATAGCCGAGAAACTGTGAGACGAGATCGAGGCCGAGGACATGGTCGAGATTATGATCCTCTACGTCAGCAGCTGCGTCATATCAAAATCCAGTATCCTCCTTTCCATGGAACCAATGATCCCGAAGCTTATCTAGATTGGGAAAGGAAGATGGAGTCTAATTTTCTGGTCCAAGGAACTTACGAGCTCAACAAGGTGAAGATTGCAGTTTCAGAATTTCATGGGTATGCGCTTCTATGGTGGGAGCAGTTGGGAGTCACCAGAAATCGCCTTAGGGAACTTCCGATTACTACTTGGGATCAGCTTGTTATACATATGAGGAAGCGGTTCGTTCCAGCCCATCATCAGCGCGAAATACTCAACAAGCTTAGGCGCCTCGTCCAAGGTACGAAGTCTGTTCGAGATTATTATCAGGAATTGGAAACTTTGCTCATTCGTGCAGATTTACAAGAAGGAGAAGAGATGGTAATGTCGAGATTTCTTGGAGGACTTAACCGAGAAATTCAAGACAAGGTGGAACTTCAGGATTTCGCCGATATACAAGAGATGGTGCATAAGGCTGAATTGGTGGAATCTCAAGTCAAGAGGCGAAATTTCAAGTCCACATTCACGCCTAGTGTGCCTAAGCCTAAGGAGATCAGCAAACCAGCTTACTCCAGGGACATCAAACCACCCTCTACTGGAATTAAAGAAGAAGCTAAAGCTGAGTTCAAGCCTCGAGGTGGCACTTCTATCAGCAATGTGAGGTGTTTCAAATGTCAAGGAATGGGACATTACTCTCGAGATTGTCCAAACAAGAAGGTTTTCTTGTTACATGAGGGAGGAGAGATAGTTCCTCAAGAGGATTCAGAGGCCGAATATGAATTAGAGGAAGAGGAAGAAGCTGCTGCTGTGGATGAGATGCTGGTTGCCAGAAGGACGTTGAGTGTTCAGAGTCAACCTGAAGAGACTTGCCAGCGAGAGAACCTGTTTCATACGAGATGCTTCATTAAAGAAAAAGTTTGTATTCTGATCATAGATGGAGGAAGTTGTACTAATGCCACAAGCGAAGAGATGGTTAAGAAGCTCCAGCTTAAGACTATTCCTCATCCAAGACCGTATAAGCTTCAGTGGTTGAATGACAGTGGGGCCTTGACCGTATCTCAGCAAGTTATGGTTTCTCTATCTATTGGGAAGTATGAAGATGAGATTCTGTGTGATGTTCTTCCCATGGGTTCGAGTCATGTGTTATTAGGCAGACCGTGGCAATCAGATCGTAGGGTAATGCACGACGGTTACACCAACAAGCACTCATTCGAGTTCAAAGGTCGCAAAATTACCCTCCTACCTCTCATGCCTACCGAGATTTACCAGGATCAGATCCAGATGAAGCTCAAGGAGAAGGAGAAAGTAGCCAACAGCCTCTACATAAACCACAGTGAATTTTCTAAACTCTTTGATCCTGAAATGACTACTTTTATGTTTGTGTACAAGGAATCCCTTGTTAGTACTAACCCTTCACAGGAGCTTCCTAGTGCTATGTTTGAGATTTTGCAGGAATACAAGGACGTTTTTCCAGTCGAAATTCCACCAGGGCTACCTCCAATTCGCGGGATAGAGCATCAGATTGACTTGGTACGAGGATCAGCCTTACCTAACAGGCCAGCATACCGAACCAATCCTGTAGAGACTAAGGAGCTGCAGAAGCAAGTGGAAGAGCTGATGAGCAAGGGACATATCCGAGAAAGCTTGAGTCCATGTGCGGTTCCAGTTCTGTTGGTGCCAAAGAAAGATGGTTCCTGGAGGATGTGTGTAGACTGCCGAGCTATCAACAACATCACCGTGAAGTATAGGCATCCGATTCCAAGACTAGATGATATGCTGGATGAGCTCTGTGGATCGACAATCTTCTCGAAGATAGATTTGAAGAGTGGGTATCATCAGATCAGAATGAAGGAAGGGGATGAGTGGAAGACGGCGTTCAAGACAAAGCAAGGACTCTACGAGTGGCTAGTTATGCCGTTTGGCCTCACCAATGCGCCCAACACCTTCATGAGATTAATGAATCATGCCCTGAGACCATTCATTGGCGTGTTCGTAGTGGTTTATTTCGACGATATCCTCATCTACAGTAAAGGTTTGGAAGAACATCTAGATCACATCAGATCGGTTCTTGATGTTCTTCGCTCTCAATCTCTCTTTGCTAATTTATCTAAATGTTCATTCTGCACTAACGAAATTGTTTTCTTAGGCTTTGTAGTAAGTGCAGGAGGAGTTAAAGTAGATGAAGAGAAGATAAAAGCTATCAAGGAGTGCCCAACCCCCAAGAATATTGGAGAAGTCCGAAGTTTCCATGGCTTAGCTGGATTCTACAGGCGTTTTGTTCGTGATTTCAGCACCATAGCCGCGCCCTTAACAGAAGTGATCAA